ATCAGGTTTTCCACACTATGCCTAGAAAACCTGCCGAGTTAGAAACGGGTAACTCACGTCCATGAAGCTCAATCAGCAGACCGCCAGGGGGCAGAGGCAGGCACTTGGATCAGAGCTCAACAGGCCCAGGATGGCTGCAGACCAGGAGTCAGGAAGAACATGGCATAGGAGGAAAAGTTCAGGAGCTGGGGAGATGGGCCAAGGCCAGAGTAAGCTCTGGCAGATTCCGTGACAGTTTGTCAGTTGCTTTGATCATTGCTTGCTTAAGAGAAAAATAAACCCTGAATGGAATGGCCGACCTGCCCACTCTTTTTGTGTGGGAGTGGGGAGGAGACAACTCATTATATTTGAGATGGCAGTCAGATCTTAAGGTTCGCAGATCCACAGCCCTGGAGTAGGCTGCTTTATGAAAGAGGAAATAAACATTATCATCGGCCTGTATGCTTCCTGCACGAGAAATAACCACTTCACCCTGCTCACCATCCCATGGCAGCATTGAGACACCAGCTGTTATTAATAGAGAGCCCACATTGCATGGAGACAGCCCCTGACTCTGTGTCTGAGAAGTAACAGAGGCTTGGAAAACTCCAGGCCGCAAGGAAGAAGGATAAGAACAGCCTCATTTCACGGTTTTCTTCAACGGTTTTAGCTCACAGAGGTGGGTACCTAGATTGTGCTTCTGAGCAGCCTGTAAAGAGCCATCATGGAGCCAAACAGCTTTTCCTAATTCCTTTAAAATCGATGTATTTCCTTGAATATCTAGTTTCTGCCTAGCTGTCCAGCCCTGCCATTCCATAATCCTGTCCCCCAGTCTGTAATCATTATGTCCTAGGTAAACTCTTCCCTAAACAGCCCTCAAGCGTTACCGCTCCCCACCCCTGTAGAAATGATTTGCGCTCTCTACTTCTCTACCTCAGCCCTACTGACATTTTGTACCACGTGATTTTGGGGGGAAGGCAGTCCTGTGCCCCGTAGGTATTCCTGGCCTCTCCCCCACTAGATGCCAGTGCCAGGGGCTTAGAGAGGGTGGCAAGTGCCCAGGGACGATCTCTAAATTGCGCCCCTCCCCCAACTTCAAGATGAATGGACGTCAATAGCTGCAATGCATCAACAGAAACGCCTTCCCCCTTCTTGTCCGGCTGCATCAGTCAGTCTTTCATGTTTGTGGCGCCTCAGGGTGTCATTCCGCGCATCGTCTGGCGAGCCCCCTTGGACTTATGCACCCCCGCCCTTCCCCCCCACGCCTCTGGCCAGTGGCACCCACTTGTGACAATCAGAATGTCTTCAGACATTGGCAAATGTCTGTTGGAGTGCAAAATTGCCTTTAGTTGAGAACCACTGCGCTACACATTTCTGTTCCACCCTAGGTCTTTGTATATGCCTGTGCTAGTGGTCTTAACAGAATGTATTTTCATTATTTGCACATCTGCCCATCTACTAAGTTGTGAACAGCTGGAGGAAAGTGCCTGTCTTGCTCACCTTGACAGTACATAGCATTCGTCAGATTAAATTCCTTGTCAAATAAATCACTATGAAGTGTTGGTGATCACCTACAAACTATGTCCCTAAGTCAGAAAATTACTTTTGTTTTATCTTATTATAGGCTAAAACATTTTGCGTTTCTTATAGATGGTTGTACTAAATCCTAGAGTCTTTAGTCCAGGGGGAACAATACTGGCCTAAAAGACAGAAGTCTCATCTCCCACCAGAGCACTGAGTAACCTTGGCTAAGATGTTTAACGTCTCTGGGTATCAGCCCTCCATCTCTAAAATGTGAATTCCTAAGAACCCCTTCCACCTCTAGAAGGGGTTTTTATATAGCAAGAGGTCCTGATTTTCACAAAATGGCACTTCAAGTCTTTGTTGCACTATTTAAAAACAAAGTGGTGTGTGTCGGGGTGGGGGGTGATGTGGACAGTGATGTCTGAAGAACTGAACATACCAAGTTTTACCATATCATTAGTAAAACAAACAAAAGCAGTCATAAACCAAAGTTACTTTTCTTTTGCAAGCCTCAATTTTATCACATAAAATAGGGATGATAATATCTACCTCATAGGGTTGTTGTGAGGATTAAATGAGATGATGTATGAAAAGTGCTTAACAGGATCTGGCACAGAGTGAGAACCCAATAAATGGTAATAGCTATGATTTTTGTTATTATTGCAACTCACATTAGTGTGACAAATAGTTTACAAAACTTCTGCTCCCTCAAACTTAGCATTGTCTTAAAATATAAAAAGCGTCATAAATGGGTATTAAACTTCAAGGCCACCAAGTACCTGTCAGTTTGTGATACTGTGGTGGCTTGCAGGTTGCTGTGATGCTGGAAGCTATGCCACTGGTATTTCCAATACCAGTAGGGTCACCCATGGTGGACAGGTTCCAGTGGAGCTTCCAGACTAAGACAGACTAGGAAGAAGGACAAGGGGATCTACTTCTGAAAAAACTTAGCCAGTGAAAACCTTATGAATAGCAGCAGACTGTTGTCTGATATAGTGCTGGAAGATGAGTCCCTCAAGTTGGAAGACACTCAAAATACGACGGGGGAAGAGCTGCCACCTCAAAGTAGAGTCGTCCTTAATGATGTCGATGGAGTCAAGCTTTTGGGACCTTCATTTGCTGAGGTGGCACGATTCAAAATGAGAAAAACAGCTGCAAACATTCATTCCTTACTAATCGAAACTTGGAGTGTACAAAGTATGAATCTAGAAAATTTGAAAGCTGTTAAACATGAAATGGAACACATAAAAATCAATATCCTAGGCATTAGTGAGCTGAAATGCACTGGTATCGGCCATTTTGAATCATACAATCATATTGTCCACTATGCCAGGAATGACAAACTGAAGAGGAACAGTGTCGTGTTCATCATTTTAAAAAAAGAAAAAAATTTCAAGATCTATTGTCTTAGTTGTCTAGTGCTGCTACACAAGTGGATGGCTTTAACAAAGAGAAATTTATTCTCTCACAGTCCAGGAGGCTAGAAGTCCAAATTTAGGGTGCCAGCTCCAAGGGAAGGCTTTCTCTCTCACTTTTGGCTCTGGGGTGCGGTCCTTGTCATCAGTCTTCCCCGGTTGAGGAGCTTCTCAGCACAGGGACCCCGGCTCTTGTTTTTTGGTGGTAGGAGATCCCCCCTTCTCTGCTCACTTCTCTCTTTTATATCTCATAAGAGATTGACTTAAAACACAACCTAATCTTGTAGATTGAGTCCTGCCTTATTAACATAACTGCCTCTAATCCTGTGTCATTAACAGCACAGAGATGTGAATGGTGGACAGTCACATAATGCTGGAAATTATGGCCTAGCCAAGTTGACACACATTTTTGCGGGACACAATCCAATCCATAACATCTATCCTTAAGTACAATGCTGTCAATGTTAAGATAATATCCATATGCCTACAAGGAAGACCAGTTACCAAATTTATATACCAAACACTAATGTCAAAAATGATGACATTAAAGACTTTTACCAACTTATGCAGTCTGAAATTGATCAAACATGCAATCAAGATGCATTGATAATTACTGGTGATTAGAATGCGAAGGTTGGGAACAAAAAAGGATTGGTAGTTGGAAAATACAGCCTTGGTGATAGAAACGATGCCAGAAATCGCATGATAGAATTTTGCAAGACCAATGACTTCTTCATTGGAAATAGCTTTTTTTTAACAACATAAACAACAATTATACACATGGACCTCGCCAGATGAAATACACAGGAATCAAATCAACTACATCTGTGGAAAGAGATGATGCAGAAGCTCAATGTCATCAGTCAGAACAAAGCCAGGGGTCAACTATGGAGCAGACCATAAATTGCTCATATGCACGTTCAAGTTGAAGCTGAAGAAAATTAAACAGGTCCAAGAGAGCCTAACTTCGACCTTGAGTATATCCCACCTGAATTTAGAGATCATCTCAATAATAGATTTGATGCATTGAACACTAATGATCAAAGACCAGACGAGTTGTGGAATGACAGCAAGGACATCATACATGAAGACTTTCTCTTGAACACAGAGTAGCTAAAGCAAATGGAAGAAATGATGAAGTGAAAGAGCTGAACAGAATATTTCAAAGTAAAGACAAAGTAAAGTATTATAATGACATGTGCAAAGAACTGGAGATAGAAAACCAAAAGGGAAGAACACACTCAGAATTTCTCAAGCTGAAAGAACTGAAGAAAAAAATTCAAGCCTCGAGTTGCAATACTGAAGGATTCTATGGGCAAAATATTAAACAACACAAGAAGCATTAAAAGAAAATGGAAGGAATACACAGAGTCATTTGTACCAAAAATAAATGGTCACCATTCAACCATTTTAGCATCAGCATATGATCAAGAACCAATGGTACTGAAGGGAGAAGTCCAAGCTGCACTGCAGGCATTGACAAAAAACAAGGCTCCAGGAATTGACAGAATACCAACTGAGATATTTCAACAAACGGATGCAGTGCTGGAGGTGCTCACTTGTCTATGCCAAGAAATTTGGAAGACAGCTACCTGGCCAACCCACTGGAAGAGAGCCTTACAACAATGGACTCAAACATAGCTATGATTGTGAGAATGGCGCAGGACCGGGCAGCGTTTTGTTCTGTCATACATAGGGTCACTATGAGTCAGAACTGACTCAATGGCACCTAACAAGTACAGTAAACATCAAGGACTCCAAGGAAGCTGAATATAAATGAAAAGCTCAATTTTTCATCTTCTAGACTCCAAAGATGCTGAAAAGTCTGTTACTTCCTCCTCTACACTTTAACAGCACCTTGCAGGTATTTGTATCATAGTTTTTATTACATTGCATATTTCTTTCATTGTCTTGTAACTAGTTGTTTTCATCTCTCTTCTCCACTAGCCATGAGCTTCTTGGAGGAAAAGACTGTCTTACTTATCTTTTTAGCTACATGGACCTAACGCACCCTCAAATTTTAATAAATACTAGCTAAGTGAGTGAATTAATGAACAGGCTGTACCCAGAAATGCACCATACCTTCTCTTTTCTGGTTCCTGAATAAAGGAGCTGCAGTTTCTGTGGCTTCTGTTTGTTTAGAGGAAAGGGAGAGTGTGGTTAACGGCCCTCTTCTCAGCAGGAAGTCAAGTGGTGCAGATAACAGGCTGCCTCAATCCTTGCCACATACTGGCCGCTCCTAGGCCCTCCCTTTAGAGCGTCAGTGATGCTGGCAGAGCTACATCTGGGGCCACATGCCACTCCACAGAAGAAAGGAAGGTGCCCCAGGATGTTTTTGCCTGCTGAAAGCTAAGGGGGCAGGGAAGAGCCCATATCAAATGCCACCCTGATGAATGTCCCCCACACAGTGAGGGTCATCATGTTAGAGCTGTCTGTGAACAGTCCCTGGGACAGTGGAAAAAACATTTTCTCAAAATAAGAACCTACCTGCATGATACCATGGAACTGGACTATGAAACTGAAGATGGAGGAAAAAGAAAACTAAAGTTTTACTGTTAAAATGCTATGTATTAATAGATAAGGCTGTTCTAAATAAGGCTGTTCCTAACTATGAATACCTTGTTTAGAGCTACCCAGTGGGACCCAACCCAGCCACAAAGTACTGGAGGAGGCCAGGACTGTAGGGCGCTAGAATAGCAGGGCTTTAAGACAAAGGCCTGTGCCTCCCTGAGATTCCTTGGTCCTAAGTGTCTGTGAGTACGTCAGGAAATCCCCACAGTAGGTAAGAAACGTTGGGAGTATGTGTGTGCATTTGTGCAAATGCTGCTGTTGCTCCCTGCTCTTGCTGAAGGGAAAGTACTGTTTGGAGACAGACGCTGGACTAATGTTATTAGAGCCTAATTTACTTTATTAACCTCCTTTGACTATCCCAGTATGCAAATTTTAATATCAAAGCAGTGGGTCCTAATTGATGTAAGGAAAGGACCTAAAAGCTTACCCCTCTTAACTATTTTACCTTCTTGGAGAGTAATGTGTTTTTCCTGGCATTTGTACACAATATTTGCAGTAGGGATGAATTCAGTGTGGACCAGGTGACAGAAAGATCAGTCCTTGGCGAAAGACAGGTCTGACTCCTTCACTTTTTCTGTCTTCTCTTCATTCTCGAACAGCTTGATTTTAGTCTGCGGTTGATGGAACCCGGGCATGTCACAGCTCAAGGAGTTTGGCTTTCCATCGTCTGTGTGTAATGATGGTGAACACCGGGAAAAGATGAAAGAAAATTGCCAGATTATTTCACGGTGAGGCTAATTTGGTCTGAAGCTAGATCAGACACCAAGTGGTTAAATTTGATTGTTTACTTCTCCCCAATTTCATTTCCACTCTGGCCAAATAAGCTCCCACTTTCCCAAAAAGCTACCTGAAAGCTAAATCTGAACTGCCACACCTGCCCCTGACTCCTAGCATTGCCACCTCAGACCAACAGCCATCGCCCAAAGGCTGCCACAGCTGCCTTTCAGCTTCCAAAGCTGTGCTGGCCATGCTGTAAGGAAGCCCTGAGACATCAAGGTCAAGAGAGCGCCAGTGCAGCACCAAGTATCTCAGACCAAGGTTACTTCATTTTTTTTCTCATACACATCATGTAATTCACTTGCATTTTGAAAGGAAAATCACCAGAATCCTTCCTTCCTAATTCTACCTCCACATTTTTTTTCCCAGCTTTTAAACAGTATCTTCAGCTGTCACTGGAATCCTTAGAATCTTTCTCTGGAGGCTGTAGAATAAAATCTAAACTCTGTACGTAACACACAATGCTGCACTCATGATGTGGCCCTGAGCATGTTTTCTAGCTTTAATTCTCACTTCTTCACACAGCCACAGACAATAGTCACACCAAAGTATTCCTGTTTATGTTTTGTGGCATCTTCCACTTTCGTTTTTACATTGTATTGAGGTTCCTATTCTTGCCTAGGTCTGTATTCTGACTGCCTATGATGTATGAATGTCTAGCACATAGCAGGTACCACTAATTCCTTCTTGCTTAAAGTCCTCAGACAATGTAAGGCATGTTCTCATCAAAACAAACCCGTTATCCCTTCCTAGGTTATACTCCAAATCCCTACTTTTTCTCCCTAATAGCTGGGCTAGACAATGAAGTAACAGAAGTCAGTGGCCTCCTAACTAATCTACAGTGATATTAATTAGAACAGTGGTTGGCTGTAGGGGTGGGAATTGACCGGAAGAGGGCACAAGGGAACTTTCTAGGATTATGGAGTTCTATTATTTTGATTGTGTATTAGTCACGTGAATGTATATTATTTGCCAAAACTCATTAGCCAAGTTTGTGACATACTGTGCTATGTCACAGAGCAATTAATAGCTCCAAAATGGGATGCACAAGACGATCTAATGAAATGTGGAAATATTTAGAACATTTTTCTAAATTTTTTTCATTTTCATGTTTTTATCATTTCATTTCAGAATATAAAAGGGGACTCACAGAAGGGTAGATGCCACATTTATCTTGCATATCCTTTGCCAAGTGAAACAAATGAGCCGCGCACAGACAGTAATGAGGGAGGAACGGGTGCTGCTCCGCAGCACAAGTAAGCTTCCATGGGGAAGAGCAGCACTGTTAAACGACCATAGATGATCAAGTAAAGAACAAGCTTTATTGCACATTTCATTCTCCGAGAAAGGGACAGGGCGCTATAGAAACCACCCTCCTCCAATCTAAAGTGCAAGCTGAAGTGTGAGTGCCATGTGATACTCTGCAAAGGAAAACAGTGGAGGATCTTCCGAAGGCCTCTGAACCAGCCAGGCTGCTGGAGCAGCTGAGATGGTGATGAGGTGATTTGTTTGTACACAAAGATGCATGTAGACTTGTTGATGAGTTGATCAGTGTGGTCGAAGGTAGGCACACCTATAAATCCAGGGTTAAGGCAGTGCCTCTCTGGCCTGGCAGGTTCCAGAGAGCACGGAACAACGCCTCCGTATTCCAGTCTGCCTAGGCCACTGCCCAGGCTGGCCTCACAGGCTTCTAGGAGACTCAGCAGGGAAAGGTGCCTGCTAGTATACCCCCTTCACTCTGCTGGTTGGAGAGGTGGCCAGAAAGGACTGACTGACTTCTACTCCCAACAGAATCAGGAAATCCAGAGGAATATCGTTTCCATCAATCTAACCAAGACCCAGTATGTTATTGTTGTTAGGTGCCGTTGAGTCGATTCCAACTCATAACGACCCTATTGTGACAGAACAGAACTGCCCCATAGGGTTTTCAAGGCTCTAATCTTTATGGGAGTAGATTGCCAGGTCTTTCTCTCGTGGAGCCACTGGGTGAGTTTGAACCGCCAACCTATCAGTTAGCAGCCGAGCACTTAACCATTGTGCCACCAGGGCTCCAGACCCAACATAATGGTTGCTTAAACAAAGATGAAACTTGTATGGTTGCTCTGATCTGTGAAGTTGTCAGTCTTCTAGGTTCCTTCTGTCTTCTTGCTCCACCAGCTCTAGGGTGGTACCCTCATTTACATGATCCAAAATGGCCACAGGCGGCCAACTAAAAATTGATTACTAGGGGAAAGAAAGGGAAAATTGCTTTGAGGACAGCCACTAGTCTCTGGCACGCCAAGACAACCAAAGTCCAGCCCTGCAGCATGAAACCAAAGGAAAACAAAAAACAGTGTCTCATAGCATGTAGAAACAAAAGAGCTTTTTACATACTCCAGATAACAGACTTAAAAATCAGGCTTTTTGAGCTCAGAGCATTGGATGCCAACAATCCATAGTTCCTGCATCAGTGCATGAAAAACTCCAGTCAGGATGCCTGTCCTGAACAATACAGCACACATTATATATAAATGCGGTGGTACTCACGGCCACGGATTTTTTTCAAACAAACTGGACAAGTTTTAGTATATTTAAGGGAGTTGCAGAGGCACTGACTACAGAAGATGTGGCCACATTCTGTAGAATAGATGCATCGTCCACTCTGTTCAATCTCTGAATACCCATCCATGCAAATTCGACACCAGATATAACCAGGTAGTGGGTAACTTAAAGTTTCTCCTTCCAGGGCATTGTGGTGGACACTGCTGATCACATACACATCTCTGTCCCTCACCAATCCTTCCTCATCACTGCTCACCACACAGCTGACAGTCTGGCCTTCAGGTGGCCTTGCGTTTCTTCTTGGCCTCCTCCTTTCTTCAGTAATCACAACGGAGTCATTTTGAGTTAGATCAATCACCGTGGGTTCTAAAGATTCACAGGTGAGGTCAACTACTTCATCCCCATCACTTTCCCTGAGTTCTATCAGTTCTGCTTCCAAGGCCATCGCAGGAGTTGGGCCTCCCTCCCCAGCTGGTTTATGGGCTTGTCTGGAATTGACCATACTACCACCATGACACATTCTTGTATTCATTGTGCTTTTTGGATCCAGCCTTCAAAGAAGTAAGAGATTTGTGCCAAAGTTTACAATGAATGTTAAAGTCCTTAATGTCTCGCAACTGTTGTTGGTCACTCTCTGGCTTACACAAGAATCTAGAGCCCAGATTTTCTAGTATCTCTGAACTCTGATCCTGGTCCTAGTCCTCTGTCTTCACTTCCACAACTGCTGTGCTCCCACAGGGGGTGAATCTTCTGGGAGCCACTGATGAGACAACTCAATCTGAATTTTTACCTGAAAAAGTGAGAGAAAAATGAAGCTTTAGTAATATTTAAGATTGACAGTAATATGTATAAAAATATAGTTATGTATATATATATATGTTTATATATAATGTATATGGAAATTTTTTTTGATAGTTATGCATTTTAACAAAGTTTGGAGACCACTGCTCTTGACACTGAGTGCCCCTCCCTACTCCATATCCTGATGTGAGTGGGAGAAGGAGAAGCTCCAGGGGTGCTCACATGAAGAGAAGCACCAAGGAAGGGCCACCACTTCATCCAGGAGTCATTATAGGGATCTCAAGGAAGCACTTCTTTTTGTAAAGTAAAAATGGAGAAAGCAAAAAGCTCTTTGCACATTTGAGTTTTTAATAAGAAATGAACCATTTAGTCCACAAAGAGGTTCATCTTGCCCAGGATTCCCTCTCTAGCAGAGGCAACAATGGAATTTTAAAGAGATTTATCCCAGATTCTGTTCTAGGAAAGAATAGGTGGAGAGTTCAAGCATGAGCCAGAGAGACTTGGTTTGCGTCTGGGCTCTGTGACTTTTGGACATGTGACTTAGATAGTTGTTTGAGTTCTCAAAATCTCAGCACATAAATCCTTTATAAAAACTAATTCTTTTTGTAATTAAAAAATAATGCATATACATGGTTAAAAAAAATCACAGTGAAAGGTATGGCTCCCACCTTGGATGCCCACTCCCCCATTCTTCCCAGAGGCAACCATTACCAGTGTATTGTGTATCTACCAAAGATATTAAATACAGAACATGTATTACTTTGATACACTTTTTATACATAAACTCTACTTAAAATTTGGAATTGTGTTAACCATTGTCATAGGGCAACATTTGTAGTAACTGTTAAATGAGAAACTATTTTGTTCTGTAAGCCTTCATCTTAAGTGAAAATATACAGCACAATTGGAAGAGCGTAGTCAATGTCACTGAACTGTGTATGTAGAAATTTTTGAAACGGTGTATCTTTGGCTATGTGTATTTTCCCCAAAAAAAAAAAGGTTGAGAAGTTAGAGGGTTAATATGTCATGGGGTTGTTAACCAATGTCGTAAAACAACACGTGTACTACTGTTTCATGAGAAACTATTTGTTCTGTAAGCCTTCACCTGAAGTACAATAAAATATTAAAAAAAAAAATTTGGAATTGTGATCAGAAACTGTACCTACTGTTACCAATAACATCAATAATGGTGTTAAGTTACATTTTGCATTCATTTAGATAAATATATTTTAAATAAATAAAACACTTTATTCCACATATATTAAAAACACAACCGAAAAACCCAACCTCATAGGGAGTTATGAGGAACAAATCAGAGTTTCTAGCACACTGGCAAATATAAAGTAGGCACTCCAAAAATGTCCTCTGTCCCCCACTTTGGTAGTTATAGTTGTCTTGGATCACCCTAGTCATTGGCTTTTATGAATTCTCCCATCTCAGTAAGCTTTCACCTTTTGAGATTTGAAAGGAGAAAAACTTATTCTATTTTGGAAAGTAGCAATTGGAAGCCAAACAGATTTCCAACTAAGAGAACCAGGCCACTGACAATCACATACACAAAGGTCTATTCTATAGAAGTGCCCCCAGGAGAAGACCCAGGGCCTTCGAGGATATTACATGGAAAGATGAAGCTGGAAGATTTATTAAAAACTTCACGAATACAAGTGCCATCAAGGGCAGCTAAACAGAGAAATCCTGGGCACACCCACATGCACTGCCCATGGGCTAGATTCTGGAGTCAAGCCTGGCTTTGAATCAAAACTCTAGCTCTGATTCCCTGTTTGACCCTGGTGAATTGTCTCATCGGAAGGCATAATAACACCTTCCTTCTAGAATGGTAGTGAGAGTTAAATGACATAAACATGTAAAGCCTCTAGCACCTGGTAAGATCTCACTCAAAGGGAACCTTTTCTTTTTTTGAACATTTTATTGTGCTTTAGGTGAAAGTTTGGACCTCTGGTGGCACAGTGGTTAAGAGCTACGGTGAGCTACAGCTGCTAATCAAAAGATCAGCAGTTCAAATCCACCGCGGCTCCTTGGAAACCCTGTGGGGCCAATCTACTGTCCTATAGGGTCGTTATAAATTGGAATCAATGCAGCAGCAATGGTGGGTTAGGTGAAAGCTTACACAGCAAATCAGTTTCCCATTCAATAATTCATACACAAATTGTTCCATGACACTGGCTGCAGTCCCCATAATGTGTCAGCACTCTCCCCATTTCTACTCTGGGTTCCCCTTTTCCATTCGTCTGGTTTCCCTGCCCCTTCTCATCTTTGATTTTGGGCAAATGTTGACCTTTTGGTCTCATATAATTTATTGCTCTAAACAGCACATTCCTCATGTGTGTTATTGTTTATTTTATAGGCCAGTCTATTATTTGTCCGAAAGGTGTCCTCCGGGAGTGGTGTCAGTTCCAAGCTGGAAGGCTGTCTTAGGGCAATAGTCTTGGGGCTTCCTCCAGTCTCTGGTCTTTATGAACTTGAATTTTGTTCTACATTTTTCTCCCACTCTAACCAGGATCCTCTATTGTGATCCTGGTCAAACCAGTTGGTAGTGGTAGCTGGGCACCATCTAGTTCTTCTGGTCTCAGGTTAGAGGAGGCTGTGGTTCATGTGGGCCATTGCTTCCTTGAGGCTTTGGTTTTCTTTATTCTTCTTTGCTTTAGACGGGAAGAGACCAATAGTTGTGTCTTAGATGGTCGCCTGAAAGCTTTTAAGACCCCAGACGCTATTCACCAAACTAGGACGTAGAATATAATCTTTATGAACTATGTTATACCAATTGACCTAGATGTCCTCCGAGACTATGGTCCTTAGCCCTCAATCCCTGTAACAGCCCTGCGAGGAGTTTGGTTATATCTAAGAAGTTTCCATAACTGTGCCCCTATGTGTTCTATTATGTATATGAATATACATGCAGCATATACAAATATGTATGTAGAAAT